GATTATAAAACAATGCATTTTCAATAAAGATTGATTTGAAAAGTACAAGAAAGAAATGAAAATCATCTAGACACTAATAAACCAAAGATAACCACCGATTTGAGAAGTTTATTTTCTTTCTAAAGTTTTTCACTATAATACATTTTGATGTGGAAAAAACTTAAAATATAAATCCAAAAATCAAAAAAAGACAAATAAATGTTTAACTCAGTCACATAACTTGTGATAGAATTATTTCTCCTTAGACTTAGTACCCAAAGCCAATTTTAGGTCAGGAGACTAATTCTGTGATACTGTTTTTATTTTGCAAACCTTGGTTAGTTCCCAATTTGTGAGTTATTTGTATATGGAATATCTGTTGCTAAGAACTTTATTTCATGATCATTTAATGAAAGACAAAAGACAAAAAACAAACTGAACAAAGGAAAAGAGAATACTCTAAATCTATTGGGCTGTCCATAAAGTTCATTTAGTTTTTTTCCATAAAATGGCTCTAGTAGCACTTAGTTTATCTTTAACTTCGATCAGAACAATTTTGTTAGATTGTATTGTGACAGCCATCATATCAGCATGCATTTTTTTAAAAACTTAACAAAATTGGTGAATTTTTGTGTAGCCATTTTAATATTGTAGATCGAAGAAACTACAACATTTCCAGCATATTATGTTTTATTATTTCAAGAAAGGTAAAAATGCAACTGAAACAAACAAGAAAAGATTTGTGCAGTGTATGGAAAAGGTGCTGTGACTGATTGAACATGTCAAAAGTGGTTCGCAAAGTTTTGTGCTGGAGATTTCTTGCTGGACAATGCTGCACAGTTGGGCAGTTCAATTGAAGTTGATAGCGATCAAATCAAGACATTGAGAACTATCAACATTATACCATGCAGGAGATAGCTAACATACTCAAAATACTCAAATCAATAAAATTATTGGTAAAAATGAAAATGCGTCTTATTTTATAGAAAAAAACCATACGGACTTTTTGTCCAACCCAGTATTTAGGGATCCTCTTTGTAGATTTAGTGAATATAGATAATCTACAAACACAAACTAATTACAAGTTATGTAACACTAATTTCCTGTGTTTAAGATTACTCAATATATTTACTCAAATCTTCTTGTATACCAACACTTTTACAGGGTATCATATAAAATATTACCAAGCATTCTATTATTGTCATTATTTCTGAAAGACACTATAACATAGGCCAATGGTATTTTCATTACATGGTCAGAAAAATTAAGCAAGGAGATAATAAACGTCTTGCCCCAGATCACTAGATGAAAACATTACATTTTAGAAAATTTCCAAAGTATAAGCAACTCCCAACTTAAAGATGAATTGAGTGCCATCTATTAGCTTTCTTCCAAAACTCATTTTCTCTTTAAAACCAGTAATTTGACCCGCCCCCCGCCCAACAAAGCCTATTGTATATAGTGCATGAATACTCATATACTAGTGTGAATCCTGGAATATTTTTTAAAAAAATTTTTTAAAGCCCGCATCGGGCAGCTCCATTGGTTAAAGTATTGTCTCCATACACCAAGACTGGATCCCCAATCAGAGCACATACCAAAAAAAAGGAGTCTAAGTAAGAGATAGCAATATTCTGAAATTGGTTAAGCTTTGGTCTTCCTCCCAGAACCTTCTTTCTGGTGCTCCTACTACTATCTCCTAGAGGTGCCTAATAACTTCCCAAAGTTCCCCACCTAAGACACCCACTCAAAATTTCTTTCCCTTGATCAACTGCTGTCAACTAATAGAAACAACACTTGACTTAATCATTAACATTACTGAAAAGGCCCTTGACATCTGTGTGTGTCCAGAACCCTTTGGAAATCTCAACAAAGTCATGAACCCACTCCCCAGAAAAATCACGTATGCACACACACACAAATTTTTCACACAATTTCAAGGGATCAGGATCACAGGGCCAAAATATATCCATGAACCCCAAAACTATAAAACCCAGGTTTAAAAAATCCCTGCACTTTAACTAAATATTGTAAAACCGCAAAACCTTTCACAAGGAACCTGCATTTTAAAAGACTATAAACTCAAACACACTCTACTATATATTCAAATATATAAACTCTAATTGTTAGAATTTATGTCCTTTCCCAGTGTTTTTATGCTCTAATTCTCATGAAAGAAGGAGAGGACTGAACCTATTTCTAAGCATGGGTCCTCTATTAAACTGGGTTTTATAGGCTCTACCCTATATTCAATAATACTCAAGAAACCTATTGTTTCACTATCATGATTTCTGGCAAATCAATACATAAATACACACATACACACACACTCACTCAGAAAATTTAACTCTTAACTGCCACATACAGTTTTCATCCTAATGAGCTCTCTGTAGCAGACTGCTTTCACCTTACTAAATTCCCTTAATCCCTATCCTCAGCTCCTTCAATCCATGCCACTCATCTTTACCCATTCTTTTTCAACTTCCTTCAAAAGGCCCTTCTTTATCCACCTGACCCTCAGATGCAGATGCTCCACAAGGTTGCCCTTAAGTCTTACCCTCACTCTTGATATTACACTCTTGTAGTTTCCATGACACTATGCTTATGAATACAAATCTCTTCATTGGCCCCCACTTCCCCTTGAGCTCCAGCCCCAAATCTGTAGCTATTAGACATATCTGATTTCCATGGCTAGAATCATATCCTATTACCTTCCTCCTCAAATCCTGTTGTCCTACACATTCCCTATCTTAAAGGCATCATCATCCATTTGCCAACTACAATCTTTACCTGCCCCATGCTGGTCCCAATCATGTCACAACTTCATCAGCTTCACTTCCCACTACTCCCCATGTACTTACTGCAAAATCTACTTGCAATTTCTCAGACTATCAATGCCCTTCCTCTAGTCTCTTCTCCATCAGGAAATCTACCAATCACACTTAAAAGTTCTACTTCAACATCCCCTACATGAAGAGTCTTCCCTAACCTCACTTAATTCTCTCTGCATCGCCCAGGCCCTCCCCAGAGGGAATTCCCCCCACCCTCTATAATCCCACACCACTTTCTTTACTCTATTTTAGTTCTCACAAATTGTGTAATAGTTGAGCCCTTATCTTTCTCTATTACTAGACAAGGCCCACAGTTTTTTACTCTAGCACCTAGCACATGCTTGGAATATTGTATGTCTTTAATCAATGTCTGGTGAATGAAAGGCAAAATTCTGAAGGACACACTTAAGGTTATTTCTCAATGGAGGGTACAGCTCATCCTCTTTTGAACATAAAACAAGAATTAAGTCCCCTAGCCCCTAAGTCCTCATTTCTAGTGCATTGCTTAGTTTTAAGCAATGTTTCATGAGGACATTTCCTAACTTCCTCTTGTTCTTGTAGGTTTAGCTGCCAGCCTAGCCACATTAGCATTCAGTAGCAGCAACAAAACAGACTCCAAGTTCTAAAAAGCAGAGTCTTTACCAGGAGTAAATTACAAGCTCTTTTTTGAAAGTGCTCTTAAAAGTTTATGCATACAAAGCTCATTCTTCATGATTCTGAAAAAGGCTTGGCATCGTTTATCCGACAGGCACTACTTAAGTGTTAAGAAAATGTCCATTTAAACTGTCAGCCAAACTTTTCACATTTGTAACTAGGAAATCAGGGTGCATAATTAATCTAAATATTATGCTTATATACTAAATACACTATAAATAATAGGTAGTCTAAATCACCAAACTGATGACCCATACAAAAGTAGCCCTTTGAGCTTCATTTAAACCGTATACCTCCCAAATTCCAGTGATCATCCCAATCTATGAAATTATTTTGCCAGCATCATTTATTCTTTTCCCCCAACATACACACACAAGCCGCCGCCCCCCCCCCCCCCCCCGCCCACATATATACACATAGCCTCCTTAAGAAATAGCTGGTGGACCAACAGCAGTTTGATTAAGGCAAGTTATGAAATCTGGGATTCTGGAGTAGATTCCTCATGGTCAGCTTATCTCTTAAGTGACTTTTGTTGATATATAGATATGCCTCAAGGGATCAGAAATATTGTAATTCTGTCTAACCAGCCCTAGTTTTTTGATCTGTTATTTTGTCTTTTAAAAATATACTAAAATATCTCTATAAAGTTGTATTTCTGACTTTTCTTCCCTTCATATTAATATTCACATTTTAGGACAGTGTACAGACAACATGATGAAAAGGGGAAAAAAATAAGGCTTTTTTGAAGCTTTGGTAACCAAACTGCATTGAGTAGGATCAAAAATAAATTAGCCTAATTCTGAACTGCACTTCAGAAGAAATACTCATATATATTCCAGGATATACATAAGCCCCTTATTTTCCTTGAGCAGTCAAAAATTCATTTTCCAGGTTTTGTCCATTATTACATCAAAGTAACCAGACAAAGCCTTCTTGTTGCTCCAGCATTAAGCTTCCAATAGTTAATTTGATTACAATCTTAAACACCTGAAAGTTAATTTGTTTCACCTCCTTTTACTATTTCTCTTCTAGCCCATTCACCTTAGTAGGAATCTGATGGATAAAAATACTAACTGAAGAACCAAGAAATTGGATAATCCACCCCCTAGCTAATAACAAACTATGATACATAATGGGCAAAAATTAACATGTACACAAAGCCACAAAAAACAGACTGGACTTAGTCTATGTAAGCTCAGGCTAAAAACGCTAGCTTTAGCTCTCGAGGAAAACATGAAAGAACAGAGAGAAAGAGTGAAAACATCCTTTGGTGTAGACATTTTCTAAAATGTTTTTACAAAACCAAAGACTGACATTTATAAAGCTGATCTTACCAAATACTATTTATATATGTATTAATAAGCATCACACAGTCACACATAAATATTCAAGTAGCACATTCCCAGCTCCAGACAGAGTACATGGAAATGCTTCAGGATAGAGTAGACACTTCTGACACTCAACAGCTCACAGAGCTCCCCCTTCACCCTCCCAACTGTTCACAATGTAACTGAGTTGGAAGAACGGTGGGCTTACCTAAAGATACCAGAAGTATGCAATAACTTCCTGCTGGCCAGAGGACTGGGGGGGTGTGCTTCTAAAGGCTGACAGTTCATAGTCCTTCCAGAAACCAAAAAATCAGCATGCCTTTTCAAATACTTGTGAAAAAAAATTTTAATTTCAATAATTACTGTTCATCATTATTATTCCCCAAAAAACATTTACTGAATGCCTTATTACATATTAGAAAAGAGGTATAAAAATTAATCCCAGACCCCAAGGAGCTTAAATTTCCCTTAAAAGTCACCCACTTGTGACTGTTTCACATAAAATACTTTTTGAAGACAACCCAAGAGTCTGGCTGAACCTACAGGCAATGCAATTCAGGTATTTAAATCATGGGAAGTTGGTCTTCAGCTCCCTAGCAAAATTAGAGATGGATGCCTAATTGTGATTAAATTTTAAAAACTACAGTTTTGCATTCCATTGGAATATACATGAATTCGGAGGGAAGCCTGAAAATCTTTCTCCTTAAATCCCTTCTATTTCTGAACAAGGGCCCTCTTCTCCTACTCCTATAGGTACTTCCCTAAGTCCAGAAGTTAAATTTCCACAAAACCTGGTAAGAAAACTATTCCATGAAAACTGTTGGCTCGGGGGATGAGAAATTTTTTTCCCCCCTGAGAATATGACCAGTGACTACTAATAAACAGTCGTTTTTCCTCATATAAACTCTTTGAGATAGGGGTGGTGAAGGCAGGTGCGATGAACTCAAAGGACTATAAATAAGGAAGCTGTCAGAAGAAAAAAAAAGTCCCTTGACACAAAAATTATGCACACAACTTAGGACCCACGTTAAGTATACTACATTACATGTGGTATTTTATGTTTACTGTTGCACTCAGTAAAATAAGGAAATTACACTCAGATAAGCAGACAGAACTAGTTATATTTACACTACCTTATGGGATAACATGTCAAGAACTTTCAAACACAATTCTAGGGAGTCAGGTCAATATTGTATAACACCCACTCCCCAACCCCCCCCCACACACACCCCAGCATCTCCAAGATCCTCCCTCCTTTTCCCCTTGAATGAGAACAACCCAATAACTTACTGTTCACAGCCAAAGGATAAGAAATTTTTTTTCAAGGTTGGGCAGAGATGAAGTGGGAAAAGGATCACTGTAACTGTAGATAATGTCCGGGACAAAGCTGGTGACAGGTTCACTCACACTACCTTTCACTCTAAGAGTTTCCCTACATTGCCTCTACACACTAAGAAAATGTGCATTTTACTTTGACCACAGAAAGACTTTAGCACACTGACACCAGCTCTAAGGTAAGCAATTAATATATTCGAATCTGATGCTTTAAAGGAAGGGATAGAGGCCAAACAACAGCTCCTCCAACTGGCTGGAGCACCACTCGAAGCCCTGAAAATATTAAGATTTTTAAACAACTTCAAGTCCTGAAGAGCAGTCAGACAGATGCACTGTAGAAACTTTGGGACCAGCAACGACGCACAACAGGTGAGAGAAACAATGGACATCATCACGGCACAGTGAAGTGGATAACATGCAGGGACAAACCCTCGAGTCCCCGAAAGTCCGCGGATATGGTATAGTAACCATGTCCGAGACCATCCAAGAGCCCCTATCTTTCCAGTGGCAAAGGTTCGGTTCCTGCCGAGGGTCGCGCCACTCCCCCTCTCCCTCACCCAGGGGACCACCACCCCAGGCACTGGAAGAACCGGGGCTCCTCCACGGGCAGCATCTCAGCCGTGGAAGAAAATACAATGTCGCTCCTTATTTCTGCGTACAAAAGGACTTTGCGCCCTCCTCCTCGAGCTGCCGCCGCTGCCGCCCGGGCCGCCTCCTAACTTGCAAGAAGGTGGGCAGCGCGCCATATTCCAGCGTCCCCCAGTCTACCTGGGTAACAAGCCTACGCCACCCCGGCGGGAGGGAAGCATCGGAGGTCGCCCAAAGAGCCAGCCTCCTCTCCCGGAGGAGACAGCGTCTCCCGCGCCTGACTCGGCCCAGCCCGCCGCGCCGCCCGCGGCTCAGACCCAGGAAGGGCCGAGGGGGCGAGCGGGGAGCCGCGGCTCTGGTCCCGCGCAGCCCGCCCACCTCCTGCTCCCGGGCCCGGCGCGCTCTCCCGCGCCTCCCGCTCCCAAGCCCGCGGGAAGGCCGGGCCCGGGCCCCGGGTTCCACCGTGGAGAGGAGGCCGCGGCCCCGAGAGCCTTGGGCGGCAAGGGAGGCCGGAACCCTAGGGCTCTCGAGAGGGCAGCGCCTCCCTCCCGAGCCCGCCAGGACGCCTGGGGCCTAGTGCGGCCTGCGCATCCTCGGAGTGGCGGTTTGACTGGGCCGGGCCGGGGCCCCCCGCCCGAGGCAGGCCGAATCCGGCGGGGGCCCAGGCCCGGAGCCGGGGGCGGCAGGGTGCCGGCTGCGGGGCGGGCCGGCCGGCCGGCGGGCGGGCGGCGTGTTGCGGCTGCGCCGGGGCTGAAATAGCTGGAGATTGCGCGGTAGGGCACTCACCTCAGAGCGGCTGCGCTACCGTGGGCCTGCGCCGTGGAGACTGCGACCGCGCCGGCTCCTCGCAGCCTCCTGCCACCAGCGGCAATGGCGAGCGCTGCCGCCTCTGCCGCCGCCGAGGGGGAGGGGAGGGAGGGGAGGCACGCACGCGACGCACAGGCTCGGCTTCCCCGCCCGGCGGCCGCCATGATGGGGAGGTCGGCGCTGCCTCAGCGGGGAAGTCCTGAGGGTGCTGGGCGGAGGGCTTCTGTAGCCCCCCGCGGCCTCTTCGCGTTCACATTTCGCTTCAAAGGTTTGGATGGGGCCGAAACCACGAAAACAACTGGAATAGTTAAATGTGGGCGCCCCGGGGAAGTGGCGCGGGCATCCCAAGATGGTTGCTAATCTGGAAAAATAGTAATATTTCTCGCCCTCCAGCCCCGGGAATTAGGACTCCTGAATGTACAAACACAATCGGAAAGCAGTGTGCCCGCATTTTACTCAGCCCTGCCTTGCCTGTCGCATCCTTACCCTTTCTTCGGAATGACCCTTGCTTCCTTATCTGAAACCCTTCCGAGGTATATAAAAGCAACATTTTTTGTACAAAGCAATATATTAATTTATTCGCTCATTCATTTGTTCGGCGAACATTTCTAGACACTTTCTATGCCAGCTATTTTTCTGAGGGCGCGGGAGGAAGGAGAAGCCCTCGCTCTTCAGGAGCGTACATGAAGCGTGCAGGGACGCTTCTCCCCTCCCACAAGCAGGTGCCCGAGAGGTAGGGAGCGGTGGATAGCAGAAAAACGATCTAATTTGAGAGAGATCTGAGGAGTAGTTTTTGTTGATCTTTGTTTTTAGAAGTGTGATCAAGAAACTACCTGAATAAAATCACTCGGGCTGTTCATTGAAATCCTGGGCCCGGGTTGGTGTCTCCAGCATCTTGGCTTCTGAGCCCAGGACCGTCCCCATTAACACTCCCTCTGTTCCCGGCCCAGACTCACCTGGGTGATTCTCATGCACACCATAGCTTAAGAATCAGTGAATTACTAAGTATCCCAAAGGGTGTCAGAAAAACAGCTCAACAAAATTAGGAAGCTTTAATTTTTAGCACAATTCCATTTACCGCAAAATCCATCATCTCCAAAGACGGAGTGACTTTTGATCCAGCAATTTCTAAGAAAGTGACTTGACTGTCACCACCAATCACTGAGGTGCTCATGTCAGAAACCCAGGAATGATCCTTTACTCCCTCCTCTGTCCCTCAAGTCCCTATATTCAATTAGGTCTTTAAAACTGTCCTTCCTTATTTTTTAACTTGGCTCAGGCGACTATCATCTCTCATTAAGATACTGCAAAAAAAAAAAAAAAAAACAACACAGAAAACAAGAAACTCTTCATGGTCTCCCTGCCAGAGGAATTGTCTTCTTCAATCCCTTCTGTACCCTACAGGTTGTTCTTTTTAAAAATAAATCATGTCATTTCCTTGCTTAACAAGCTTCGCAAAATCCCATTCCCCTTAAGTTAAAGTCTAAAATCCTTTGAGGTGACTTCAAGGCCCTTCTGACCTCACCCGCTGCTGCCACCTCTGACATCATCTGTCACAGACTTCTCCCACTGACTGCTGCCAAGCTCGGGAGCTCTGAGGTAGGACGAGACAGGAAGTTCTCCACCTCACAAGTTTTGCAAGGGCTGCTCTCTCTGCACAGAACTTCCTTCTCCTCTCTTTACTCCTTCTATTCTACTTAAATCTTCATCTGAATAATTCCTACGACTTCTTAAGATCTCAACATTAATACCATTTCCTCCAGAAAGCATTGCCCCTTCCCCACAGAATGAGTGAGTGCTTGGCCCTTCCATGATCACACCCAGTAGTTACCACACATGTTTTTGTTTTTGTTTTTAAATGTATATTATATTTTTTCCATTACCATTTTGTCCCCTTATACCCCCCACGACTTATGTTTATTGAGCCCCAGTGATGCGTCATGCCCTATTTTAAGCCCTTTTCACACATTATCTCCTTTCTCATTTAATTCTCAAGTGAAGCCCATGAGGTAGGTATTACAATACTATTATTATTAGCTCATTTTGCAAGTGGAGAAACAAAGCATGTGGAAGTTACTTGCCCAAACTCAGACAGTAATACATGGAGCCAGGTTTGAAAGCCATCAGCCTGAACTCAGAGTTGTGCTCTTAATCATTATCAGAGTTTTTCAGATTGCAGGTCACTACCTACTGATGAAGCACAAAATTAGCTTAGTGAGTCATGACCAGTATTTCATAAAAGAAATAGAAAATATTGGAGAACAACAAACTTTGAAAGGCTCTTGTGAAACATTTATTTCAGCTATAAGAATGTCTGTGCATAGGTGTATGTGTCCGTACTGGACCGTGATATAATATGCATTTCTTATTGGATTATAGTTGCAAAAAGTTTGAAAACACTGCCTTACTCTTTCTGCACAGCTCTCAGACCATGCACCCTCCACAACCTGGAAGCTGCAGGAGGGTAGGGACTTGTCTTGTTCACGACTGTATCCCAGCATGTCTTGCAATGTGTGACTCACAGTAGACCTTCAATAAACAGGTAATGAAAGACCTTTGTGCCTACCCTCCTCAAAAATGCAAATTACTTTCTTAACACAAATGAGCCCGGGAACCCCAGTTGCTCTGCCCAGAAAGCTCTTCAGTCTGGATGACCTAAGATTCTAGAATCAGTCTCAGAAAAAAAGAAAAATCTACCCTACTAGATTAAAGAACTGGATTCTGACAAAATTGTAGTGATCATCCTGAGCACAAGGGAGTCATAAAATGCAGGCAATATATGCAAGAAGAAAACTCCATGAGGTAAGAAGTAGACAGTAATTGAATTAAGAAAGAAGGAATGACTTAAGATGACTTAACCTTGAGGCCCAGAGCAAGGAAAAAAAAGGAACCTAGACTCTTGAGAAATGGCTGGGAGCTCAGCAGCCTGGGCAATGCAGATCCCCAAATTGGGTTTGCTTTCAGTAAGCCGATGGTCATTTGATTGACTAGTTATCTATAAAAAATTATAGTGTATGCTAAGAACCAAATGAGCGGTGATACAGACTGTAAATGCTTCAAGTGATCAGAAATAAAGTCATGTAGGAAATTTGTCCTTGACAGATGGCTCAGTTGGTTGGAGTGTCATCCTGTGCACCAAAAGGTTACAGGTTCCATCCCCCATCAGGGCACATACCTAGGTTTCGGGTTTGATCCCTGGTTGGGGCACGTACGTGAGGCAACCAATTGATGTCTCTCACATCAACATCTCTCTCTTTCTCTCTGTCAAGTGAATAAAGACATATCCTTGGGTGAGGATTAAAATAAATAAATAAATAAATAATTTATGTATTGTAGGCAATTTCACAGAGTACCTTGATTTGGCCTTGAAGTGTGGTCAAGATTCACATGGGCATAGAGCAGAAAGATAAAGACACTTCACCTGGGTAGAGTGTTGGGGGAGACTGGACAACAGGTCGGGGTGGGAGTCCCTCAGGCGTGATACGTAAGTAAAGCAGCACAATGACCTCAGGGTGAGCAGCCAGTGTTCGGGCCTGTCTGAGGTGGTTTTCTCACTAGTGAGATAGACCCTCTAAGCATCAATTAACAGGAGCTGACTTGCAGGAAGCTTTTAGCTTCCAGTGTGGCCTGTGTGCATAGCAGGAGACAGAGATAAAGAGGGGCAAACTGAGGCAACTTTGCACGAGGGACCCTTCAGGACCCACTGATAAACGTCATGGGATCCCAAGAGCAGCAGCCTCTCAGTCTCTACTTTGGAATGTGCACGGCCCCAGCCGCAGCTCCAACCCCGTAACGATTAATGGGAACCTAGCACTATGTGACCAATTCGAGGGGAGTTTTGCCCCTTTGGGGACAAGGGCTGGCCCTCGAGGGGTCTGCATTTCCAGACACCAGGCCCCAGCGGCTGCACCCCCACGCTTTCAGAGGCTACAGGCCTCCACTCGGAGCCACGTCCCATTGTCCTGTCCCATCGTCCTGTCCCATCGAAACACTTCCTGCCTGTGAGACTTTGGCAAGTCACTTAACCCTTTAAGCCTGTGTTTCTTCACCCATGACACAGAAGTTAAAAGAATCAATACTCATAAAGTGCCTGGCACCCAGGAGGCACACAGTAAAGTACTGAGTATTATTAGCTCTCCCCATTAATCATGTAAATTGCTTGGTACAAAATACAGACCTCATAGATGGTGGCTGCTGTGATGATGAGGGTGATGATGAGGATGATGACGACAATGACGATGATGATGAATAAACTCTTCCTGACGACATGCTACATCCTTAGGGTGTATCCTTCTCCCAGAAGTTGTGGAGAACATGCAGGGGA